CCTTCCCCTTCCCCCCGGACCCGCTGGACACACACGGGACGCAGAGCAGAGAGCCTCTGTGTGATGGGGAGCAAACCTTAGGGTCGGGAATAATTGATTTCACGTCTTGATGAGGGCACTGCGACCGTGCGACCTGCAGCAGGTGCAGGCGGCATGCTGGGGGCGGGGGCAGCGGCGGGGGCGGCGCTTTCACTTCCACTGGACCGAACACAGACCGGGCAGGGGCCGCGACGGGGAGCAGCCAGCACGTGGCGCATACTGATGACGGCGCGAGGAGAAACTCCTCCGTCGCGACGTGGAATATGCTTTCGCACTTTGAGCCACGGCCGAGTGCGGGACCCTCGAGGGAGGAGACGCTTTAGCGTTCCACGTTGATTAAGAATGCAAAAGTTTCTACTTCATTTTGAGGAGGACGAAATTTCACATCCATGCGAGGGGGTCTTTTGATGTGTACACATGTTTCCCGAAATACTTGATTCGCAGTGATTTCCGTCCGCTTATATTCATTCCATACGTTTCCTCGAGTTTTCTAGATGTAGAAAACGCTCATTTCGACTAATTTGTCAGTTGTTCTACTAGTTTCCCGCTTAGTTTAAGCGATTTCTTCGAATACTTTTTATCCTGATGATTCCCAGGCAGGTATACAATGATTCCCGGTATTGCCCCCTCACCCCTCGCATCCATGTTAACTCCACCTTACCGATTTCGTTTTCCTTTTGTTGTCATATCGGTTTGGCTTTGGTCTTGCTGCGGCCTGGAGTTGGCGCTCGCTCGCTCAGTGTCGTCAGTCTGCAGTCTTCGCACCCCCTGGGAGATGTGGGGGGCTGCGGTGCGCGCCCAAAGTCTCTCGGCACGCGGTTGCGGCCTGCAGCCTGCTGCTGCAGCAGAAGCACAACCCTGCAGTCGCACCGGGGAATAAAATGCAGCAGAGACAGTAGTGTCTCTCCGAGTTGGGGGGAAGGCGGCGGCGGACGGAAATCCTGCCGCTCCGTGGGTGGGTCCCCCCGGGGTCCCCTTTGGGACACCCCCCAAACATTATTGCGCGCAGAGATGTATTTTACTTTGTCTGCTGCTGCTGCGCGGTGTGTCTGAGATGGCAATATTCCCATCGCGTCGCCGCGTCGTCTCCGTCGGCCGAGTGAATATTTCATGCGGTGCGGAGGGAGACGGGAAGGGGGGAGGGGGGCGTCGCCTCGGGAGGGGGCTGTGGTTATTACTCTGGGAGCCCCAGGACGCCCCCACTCTCTCGCTCTCTGGGTTTACAAAGCCAAAGTGTCAAACGGCTAATCTTTTATTCCAGCCTCATTCATAAGCCTCTCCTCCGAAGGCTGTGTGGACGGGCAGACAATGGGTCCAACTACCATCTCTCTCTCTCTCTCTCTCTCTCTCTCTCTCTCTCTCTCTCTCTTTCCATCTCGCTCTTTCTCTTTCTCTGCCGGGGTGCCATCAACATCTCCGATATTATCTTTGCACTAAATGCACCTCTCCGGGGTCGCCATTAAACAACGGGACTCGTTATCTCGAGGCGACGCGCCGCCACCCAGTCAGCTCGAAAAAGGAGGAATATCATCGCCTCCGGCAGCCGCCCCGCTGCACCGTCGCTCCTCGCGTTCTAACCCGATTTACTGCAGCTCCTTACCGAGCACCCATTTTCTTCTTGCATTTTTGCATTTCTTTCTATCTTTGTTCCTCCTACTTAATTATTTTCTCCCTCTCTCTCCCGTCGGACGACAAGTTCTCCAGGGAATTATACTACAAATAGCAGAGTCAGATGTCCCACCTATAAAAAGAGCGAGATTTTTTCTCCTTGTTCCATTTAAGTGATAATTAAGAAACTTCACTCTCATTGAGTGATATTCTATACTGTCACTCCAATTAAGTAAGATTAACTTTATGAATCTTTACTCCAAAAATGCGAGGGTTCCCAATCATCACTCAATTAGAATGACATTGCTTAATTTCTCGATCTAATCGAGCGAGGAAATCAAACCTCGCCCTCTGGGAAGCAAATTCTCCCTCTCCTAAGGGTGAATCCTCGCTCTAGGATTTCTAGTTCACAGAGTGGTCGATCTACGCCGTCCTCTGGTTATACTCCGGATTCATGGGTTGCGGTTGGGTTACTCGCACGGTGCCAAAAGACGCCCTTGGTGAATGGCGACAGGCAAAAAAAAAAACAACATTTTATGCTTTTTGAAATGCCCCAAAACTGCAAAAAACGACAAAGACACACTTTTGATAGGAGACAGTGGCATAGGACTACAGTGCCTCATTCACAAAACAAAATATGTGGGTATATGTCACTACTATTTTTGGAACTATTTTATTTTATCCGCAATATACCTCTGTGCGGCATTTGACCCGGCACGCCGGATGCCGATATGTGTCGGGACTGCAGCCACACCATTGCGACCCCCTCTCCCCCGAGCCTAGTCCGGCCGGTCCCCGCCCGCCCCCGCCCCCCGGGTGAGGCCGCTAAAGCCGCTGGAATCAGGTTAGCATGCACGCGTGGTGCAACAACACAGACCCGCAGAGTGCACACATTTGAAGCGGCTGGCGGCGGCGGCGGGACGCGCCACTCAGCGCTGGTGCCACTTCGCGAAAAATATGGAAGCGCCGAAAACTTTCTATGCACCATCCCCCCC